AAAACAAAACAAATAATAATAAAATTTAAGAAGAAAGTTTGAGGGCTGGAGAGATGGCTCAGTGGTTAAGAGCATTGCCTGGTCCTGAGTTCAATTCTTGGCAATCACATTGTGGCTCACAACCATCTGTAATGAGGTCTGGTGCCCTCTTCTGGCCTGCAGACATATACAGACAGAATATTGTATGCATGATAAATAAATAAATATTTAAAAAAAAATAAATATTTTTAAAAAAAAGAAAAGAAAAAAGTTTGAGAGACAGAATGAGAACATACCGGCCCAATGGCGCCTTCCTGAAATCTCAGCTACTTAAAAAACTGAGATACAAGCATCATAAATTGAAGGTCTGCTTGGCAATTTATTTATTGAGATCCCGTTTCAAAATAAAAAGTTAAAAAGAGGGGCTGGAGAGATGGCTCAGCGGTTAAGAGCATTGCGTGCTCTTCCAAAGGACCCGAGTTCGATTCCCAGCAACCACATGGTGGCTCACAACCATCTGTAATGAGGTCTGGTGTCTTCTTCTAGCAGGCATACACACAGACAGAATATTGTATCCATAATAAATAAATAAAAAGAAAAAAAGAATTTCTATAATTAAAAAAAAAAAAAGTTAAAAAGAAAGGCCTGGTTTGGGGTGAATGTGGTGCACGCCATTAATCCCAGCACTCAGGAGGCAAAGGCAGTGAGAGGCCAGCCTGTTCTACAGAGTGAGTTCCAGGACATCCAGGGCTACACAGAGAAACTGTCTCAAAGAGGAATAAGAAAAGAAAAGAAAAGAAAAGAAAAGAAAAGGGAAGGGAAGGAAAGGGAAGGAAAGAAAAGAAAGGTCTGGTGATATAGTTCAGTTCTCTAGTATGTGTAACGCCCTAGGCTGGATTCCTATGAACACACACACACACACACACACACACACACACACACGAGGGAGAGAGGTATGTTTAGGATGCATTGGCTTTGGGCTAGATTCCAGAACCACTGCCTCCTAACACACACTCAGATACTAGCATGCACAAGGTCTTGGGTTCAATCCCCGGCATTAATAAAAACAATTAAACTCTCTATACACAGACTCTGCACTTGGCAACAGGATTTATACTGTGGGCTGGCACCTCCTGATCTGCAGTCAAGCCGTATAGCCTGGCTCATCAGCACACTGTACCCTGGGCTATTAGGTTTTTTATTCATACCAATCAATTACTTTACACTCTCCTTGACAAGTTGCTTATAATCTCAAGTCGTTTTACGTGTGTATTTGTCTCCTTGGCTAGACTGTTCCCCTTCAAGGACAGGAACCCTCCAGCAGTGCATTTCCTATGTTTTGTTCAAAGTACAGTTCGTTCTAATTAACAACGGAACAGACACAGACCAAAACAGAGGTTTTTTGTTTGTTGGTCGGTTGATTTTTCGAGAACTTTGTAGCTTTTGAGCCTGTCCTGGAACTAGCTCTTGTAGACCAGGTTGGCCTCGAACTCACAGAGATCCGCCTGTCTCTGCCTCCCGAGTGCTGGGATTAAAGTTGTGTGCCCAGCTCCAAAACAGAGTTTTTTTTTTTTTAAACATTTTATTTATTTATTATGTATACAGTGTTCTGTCTGTATGCTTGCTGGTCAGAAGAGGGCACCAGATCTCATTACAGATGGCTATGAGCCACCATGTGGTTGCTGGGAATTGAACTCAGGACCTCTGGAAGAACAGTCAGTGCTCTTAAACTCTGAGCCATCTCTCCAGCCCCCCAAAACAGAGTTTTAATTTCTGTTGCTTGTGTCCCTTGGTTTCCCAAAATTGTCATAACAAAGTGTTTTTCTCACAATAAGTAAGCCTGGGTCATTTACCTATGGTGGTACCACTATGGCAAGTAGTGATAGGAAGAAGCGAGAGGCCCCTCATTCACCTTTAGAGGTCATAAAGCATCATTGACCCTGAATGAGTCATATCACCAAGGCATGCTATTTTTGCTTCTGGTGTGTATGATGGATGTATGTGTTTGGATATGTGTATGGTGTATGTTATATGCGTGTGATATGTGTATGTGCGTATGGTGTATGTATGTGATGTTTGTATATGTGTGGTTGTGATGTGTGTGTGAGACACATGTGCGTGAGTATGTTCCATATACACACAGGGACAGTCCAGGTCACAGAGCGTCTTCTGTTACGTCTTATCAATTGCAGACAGGGCCTTTCAGCAGCAGCAACTGCTGGGTGTTGGCTGATTGGCCAGCGATCCTCAGAGATGCAGTAGGCGTCTCCGCCATGCTTGGGTGGCAGTGGCACTTCAGCAGATGCCAGGGACTGGAATTCAAATCCTCACGCTTGCCCAGAGCATGCACCCTCACCCACTGCGCCATCTCTAGAAGGAAGGAGACTATTCTCTAAAACCATGCCCTGTTTGGCTCTCACCCACTAAAGCTAATCAGCTTCCTCCTGATCGACTCCTGCTGCACAACCACACACATACATACACACACACACACACACACACACACACATTTAAGACAAGGGCTAGGAGTGGCTCAGCAGTTAAGGGTGCTAGCTCCGTTTCAGGGGGACCCAGGTTGGATTCTCAGCACCTGCATAGCAGCTCACAAAAGTCTGTGACCCCAGTGCCAGGGGACCTGAGCACTTCCTCTTCTCCCGATATCTGAGCACCAGGTACAGGTGGTGGTGCACTCACCTACACACAGGCAAAACACATGAAGTTAAAAAAAAAGAAATTAAAGACTCTCAAAAAAAATGTTTTAAAAATGTTTTGGCGAACTTTTATTTTCCCCATTTTTTACATTCCTGTAGTGGCATGTCATTTGTATTTTAGTAAATAAAGCTTGCCTGAGGATCAGAAAAGTAAAACAGCCACATAGGCCAGCCTTACAGGCCAGGCAACAATGACACACACCTTTAATTCCAGAACGAGAGAGGATATAAAATGGGAGGAGACAGCACTCAGGCTCAGTCTCATTCTGACATTCCAGGAGGCAGGATTGCCATTTTGGACTGAGGAGTCTGGTTGTTTTGCTTTTCTGACCTTCAGGTTGAACCCCAATTCCTGTCTCTGAGTTTTATTAATTGCACCTCACATTCCGGTCCTTGTGTTTCTTACTTTGTTTTGTCTTGCTGTTTTTGTTCTGTTTGGCATAGCTCCGGCTGCCCTGTAACTTGCTTGGTAGACCAGGCTGACCTTGAATTCATAGAGACCCATTTGCCTCCGCTCCTAAGTGTTGGGCCATCACACCCAGCTGCTCTCTTTTTGCTTAAAAGATACAATCTAAAAAACTGCACACAGCAGACTCACGCACTGGGAAACAGCTCACTATCTCTTGAAGGGTCCTGGTTATAAGTGCAATCTTTCCAATCTCCTGGCTCCAAAAGCTCCAGGAGGTAGCAGTCAAGACTATAAAAGAGAAAGAAAACCACTGAAACTCACGTCGCCCCCCCATACCTACCTCCACCCATTAGTAATGGGGTGTGTACTAGGCAAGCACTGTCCCAGAGATACAACCTAGCCATCGGCCTTGTGCCCAGGTTGACCTCAAACTTTTGATCTTCCTGTCTCAGCCCCACCCCCATGCTAGAACTACAGGTACATGCTATTATGCTAGAAGCCAACATTTTTACTTATTTTTATTCTTATGAGTGTTTTCCCTACATGTGTCTATGCACCACATTCATGCCTGGTATCTGAGGTCAGAAGAAGGCATTGGAGCCCCTGGAACCAGAGTTACAAAGATTGTAAACTACGATGTGGGTACTGGGAACAACCTGGGTCCTGTGTTAGAGCAGCAAGCACTATTAACTGCTGAGTCATCTCTCCAGACCCCTGAACTTTTGGTTCTCCTGTATCTACTTCCCGAATGTTGCAACTACACACACCAGCCCATGGGTCCAGTCCCATCTTACTCTCTTATTTTTGCCGACATATTTATTCCGTGTACCTATGCTACAGCTCCAGCAGAGACCAGACAACTCATGGGAGTCGGCTCTCTCCTTCCACCATTTGGGTTCTGGGCATTGAACTCAGGCCACCAGGCTTGGCAGCCAAGTGCCTTTAGCTACTGAACCACCTGGCTGGTCCCCCGGGTTTATCCTTGTTGGGTTGTGACCAGAGCTGTCCAGAGCAAAGAGCTCAGATCAATTGTAACTTTCTTCACACAGAGACCCTAACTTAGCATTCTTCTCCTTTCTCCATTGTAGTACTGGTATGTTAGTAACTAGTGTCCGAGTTAGCCGAGTGAGGGCTGCTACTGCTGTATCCATGACACTGTCTTACCAATCACCAGCAATCGCAAACAGTAAAGATAAATATTGAGGGGCAATCTGGGCATCCTATGCTGACACAGGGTAGCTGGTTGCTCCCCTGCTGCAGCCTCTCCCTCGGGGCGCCTCAGGCAGTGTTAGTGCAGACCTAGAGGGGAAGGAGGCCATGGGTGGGAACAGAGGGAAGCCAAGAGGCTGAGTGTCCAGCTCCACAAGATCGCCTTTCCCCAGCCTAGCGGGAAAGGGTCCCACTCGCCCAGGACCTTGTAGTTACTCATTCAATAATAGTTCAAAAGTCTCAGCTGAACAACAAGCAATTCAAATTTCAGGATGTTTTTCCAAAAATACATTTCCTCCAGCTGGTACCCAACTGTATTTATCTGTTCTTTTCCTCACTTGGAGACCCTATCCTTGCAATTCTCAGAAAACAAACAGACAAAAAAATAAAAATAAATGTAGAAGTCAGACCAATGTACCAAAACTGTAAGGAGTTTCATTATGTTTTTTCTTGTTTTCCTTTTTGTTTTTTTTCAAGACAGAGTTTCTCTGTGTAACAGCAGTCTTGAAACTTGCTTTGTAGACCAGGCTGGCCTTGAATTTAGAGATCCACCTGACTCTGCCTCCCTCCCAGTGCTGGGATGAAAGGGTGTGCCACCACCACCTGGCACCCTTACATCTCCAAGGAATATTGATAAATGAACTTATAACAAATACCAAAGTAAGAAACAAACACAATACACTCACTAAATATCCATACCAATTATTATTTATTGCTAGGATTTAAACTTTTTTTAAGTGTTGGAGAAGCAGGAAAAGACACCCACGGAGGCAGGGAGCAGTCTGATCACTTACAAAGTGCCACAAGGTTGGTAAATGCTGGGTGCTAATAACTGGAGTACTCTTGACAGACAGGCAGAAACACTGAGTGCTCAGTGCAATGCAAAGAACAGCACACTTAGACGACTATAGAAACACTCAAAGGGAACTGAGCTCTCGACAACAAATGAACCGAACTTTCAGCCAACAAGCGAACTTATTTTAACACATCTGCCTTGGGTGAACTAGAGCTTCAGTTAATCAGACTAGAACCAAGTCAAACCCATCTTATTCTCTCCAGCTTCCCCAAAGCCTTGAGCTGTAGGGCTGTAGCAGATCCGATGCACGATCCCTTTAAGAGGTGGACCTCAAATGATAAACTACTGCTAGGGAACTAAGTGTAAAAGTCACCTGAGAAAAAAAGGGGTTGCAGAGGGGGCTGCACACAGGGATACAAATGTATCCACGTGTGCCGGGCTAGAGGGCTCAGTGCACTTAAACAGCAGTGGGGCTAGCCTGAAGCTTCCTGGACATCCCACCCAGAAAGTATCACACACAGAGACCTGCTCGTTATGTCTAGCAACTGAGAAAAACAGCAACCAAGGACAGGCCCTACTCAGCTTCCCCAGGTCCCTGAGAAACAGGCAACACAGGCAGCAGGCCCCCCGGAGCTGGTCCCCATCCCAGCAGACAGACGGGGAGCTCTCTAGTCCTTAGAGAGACAGCCGAGAAATGACTCCTCATAGAGTCCAGGGCTTCCAGCCCTTCATGCAGACAAAGATAGGACACTGTGGGAAAGGCCTGGCTGACCCCTTTCCATTGGGTACAACAGACTGGGGGTGGTTTTTGTGACGCCCCCTTGTGTGATCCAGCCAGCGCTGGAACTTTGCTCGACTTCTACAGAAACATATACTGGAAATATACACCAGAACCCAATGTTCAGAAAGTCCTGACACTGTCCGTGTGTGCTGGGGCAATCGCGGCGGCACAGGCGGCACACGACGAAGGCCAGTCCACCCTCCTGGCCATCAGAAGGCTATTTGGAATGTTAGGATCTTTGGGTCTCTGGCCTTTGGGGCCTCCCCCAGAGACCTCTTCACAAGGATTGCAGAGTGCATTCCTCGCCTCGGCTGGCCAGAGCATTTCTCCACAGTGGTGATGGCAGCAGCAGGAACTACAGCTCAGATATAGTTGGTAGGAGGCTGCCGGGCATTGAGTCGCTGCATGTGGCAGCCGTGGCAGAGCAAATGTCCATCGAGAGGGAAACAGCAGCACCCTTCCTCGTCACTCAGCTGCATGCGGCAGTCCTAAGGAAGAAGACCGCTAGTTCACAACAGCCCAGGCTTCCCCCCACACTGAGGCCATCTTGGGAGTCTGTCCTGCTTAATGTCAGACTAGCCAACACCTGGGAGATGGTGGCCAGGCAGGGAGGGTGGAAGCAAAAACGCAAGAAGCCCTCCCTGCCTGGACACCAGGGGTCGCTGCTGTTTGCAGAGACAAAGGCACAAGCTCCACCTCCAGCAGTCAGTTCACTCTGGGGAAGCCACATTCAAAACCACATCAACACCAGGACCAGGAAGAGTAGCTGCTAGAGGACAAGAGAGACCGGACACAGGTCACAACAGTGTCCTGCATCACTTCCACAGATGCCCAGTTCCCCTCCCAAACCCCAACTTCCCTCCATCAGCCCTGAACACCGATACTGACCTCACAGTGGTAGCACTCGAAGTGATAATCACGGTCCATCGAGATCACCCTCACAATGTCCTCACAGCCCTGAAACAGGTAGAGCCCCACGGAGGTGAGTGCAGCATAGTGTCCCCGAAGTCACCGTCCCATCCACAGAAACCCTCCCGCTCCAACAGGCAGATCCTACAAAGGCTTCTCTGCATTTAGACACAATCCCATGTAGCTCTGAGATGTTTTAGCAGCTCCTACCAGAATGCTACCCCTAACCACAGCACTGCTCCAGGACAGGAGCCTCCATGCTTTCAGCTCTCCCTCTATATAGGGGCAGGGCCTTCCCTACTCCTCAGGTGTGTAGAGAAGCAGGGAAAGTGGGGAGGAGTGGGGAAAGACATGGCTGGGCACAAGTCAGTCTAAGAAAAAGGCCTTGGGCTTTCTCCTAGGCATACCTCCTCCGCACACAGCTTAAAGAATCTCTGACCCCATTTTTACCAGCTGAAGGATAATTTCAGTCCCTGTATCTGGTGACCTTGAGAGCCTTGTTCTCTAGAAAGGGACAGAAGATATGGAGCCTGGGCCCAGCAAGACTATCGGACATGCCTGGGTCCGGAAGTTTAGGTCAGGGTGGTGACCCCAAGAGCAGAGTCACACGGGAATCTTCCGGAATGTACATTCCTCAGAAGTACCACTTCCCAAGGGAGGCTAGGCTGCATGTCCCCATCTCTTCCCATGAGGCAGCAGTACTGGCTGCCCTGTGGAACTCAGACACACTGACCTCTGAGGGGAGGATGGGTTGTCCACAGGCTGCACATTTTGGGGCATAATTTCTGAAAGAGAGGAACACTGATCAGCTGAGGCTGAGGGATCCCTGGGCCCAGGACCACATCTTACCGCCCCCCAGGGCAGACTCACTTGTGGTAGTCAGTGACGCAGTACACCTGGTTGGAGAAGTCCACTGTGAAGGGGACGCCATCCAGGCACTTGTTACAAACGATGCATCGGAAGCAGCCTGGGTGATAGGATTTCCCCATGGCCTGTAGGATCTGGCTCGCAGGGTGGGAGGAGGATCAGTCTCCGTTCTGTCTTGGGCTTCAGCTACCCATTATGTTCCAACCCCCTCCTGTCCTCCTAGAAGAATGCTACATAATTTGAGGGGACCAAGGAGTCTTAAAATAAAGGTAGAAAAAAAAAATCCTAACAAAGGTCTCAGAAACTTCCAGGCCCGTGGATTTTTGTCAATTCTTGGAGACAGGGTCAAATGTATCTTAGACTGGCCTTAAAACTACGCGACAGAGGATGACCTTGAACTCCTGACCCTCTAGCCTCGCTTCCAGAAAACTGAAATAACAGGCATGCCTGTACCACCACGTCTGGGCTGCGCGGTGCTAAGGAAAGAGGAACCCAAGGCTGTTCAAGTAAGGCATTCGCTCAACCAACACAACTGCCGCCACACCTAACTTTTTATTACAACTTGAGGTAGGGGCCAAAATTTTTATTTATTTTTTCCAAACCTTCCCAGGTATCTACTAGATGGCCATAGGTAGGAATCACCAATCTAGCCAGGCAGTGGTGGCACATTCCCTTAATCCCAGCACTTGGGAGACGGAAGCAGTGGGATCTCTGTGAGTTCAAGGCCAGCCTGGTCTACAGAGAGAGTTCCAGGACAGGCTCCAAAGCTACACAGAGAAACCCTGTCTCGAAAAACAAAAATCAAACAAACAAAAATCACCAATCTAATTTGAGCCCTTTTTTTGTGTGGCGGGGAGGGATTTCAAGACAGGGTTTCTCTTGTATAACAGCCTTGGCTGTCTTGGAACTCACTCTGTAGATCAAGTTGGCCTCGAACTCACAGAGCTCCACCTGCCTCCAGCCAGTAGCAGAAAAGGGAGCCTGCTCACCTAGCTCAGGCTGGAGGGCAGGTTGTGTCTGTACAGTTGGTGTGTGTGTGTGGGGGGGGGGGGGGGCAACAGATCACAGGCCCAGCAGGGTCACAGATTTGCTCTCATGGGCAGAGGGGTAGCAAGGCAGGACAGGACTGGGGACGAACGGTGAGAACATGGATCACTAGTGACAGGGTCCCTCAGCCACCTTCTCTCATGCTTACAAAGCCACCAGTTCTCCCCTCATGGCCAGGTCTCAGCTGAGATGCATTTCTTACCTTCTCTAAAATCAAGTGGCCGCAGACACAGCACTTCTCAGCTGCCTCCTGAAACCCTGAAAACTGGAGAAGGGACAAAAGGTGTCACCAAGATGAAAAACCGATGGAACCCAAGACTGTCCCAGAGTCAGGCAGAGCGACGCTCCTGGCTCACCAGATAATCTTCCTCACAGTAGACAGAGCCGTTGACGCTGTAGAAGGCTTTGCAGCGTAAAGTCCGTCCTAGGAGCAGCAGAGAAGGGGCTGGAGCCTAGGTTTGGGGCCTCAGGCAGGGCTTTTCCGCCTCTGGTCCCTGCTCCCCAGTGCTGCACAAGACAGCTTTCCCTTCTAACTGTCTAGTTTTCCTTCCCAGACAAAAACACCATGTGCATGTGGAGACTGAGGCAGGAGGATCAAGAGTTTAAGGTCAGCTTGGCCTATATAGTAAAGCCTGCCTCAAAGAGGAAAAAAAAGGAAAAAATCCCATATAATACAATCCTAATTGGCTTTGGTTTCATTGTAGCTCCAACAACTTTTCCCGTTTTTCTTTTTTAAAGATTTTTATTTATTATGTATACAGTGTTCTGTCTGCATATACTCTCCAGAGGAGGACACCAGATCTCATTACAGATGGTTGTGAGCTACCATGTAGTTGCTGGGAATTGAACTCGGGACCTCAGGAAGAACAGTCAGTACTCTTAACCTCTGAGCCAGCTCTCTCCAGTGCCCCCAACACTTTTCTATTCCCTGCTCCTCTAGCTCCTGCTTTCCCACACCTCCTCAGGGCCCAGCCAAGGTCAGGCAGGCTGGTGCGCTCAGACCAGGTTGATTTATTTGCCTGAGCACTCTTCCCAGACCTTGCTCTCTGGGACCTCTAACCTAGGTTCCTTTGTTCCAGTCAGTATCTGGCTCTCACATCTGTCTAGCTCCTTCCTGCCACATGCTGCCCCTATGGCGGTCAGGACTTCTGGGAGTTACCGCTTTGTGCCGGGAGCTTAAAGGAATGCAGGCGTCTCCAGGGTCAGAGGCAGGTGGATCATTTCCCTTCAGACCACCTTCCACAGAGCTACCCCCTAAGGTCTAAGTGGTCACAGATAAGCAAGGTGTGTGGGGGTGGGGGAGAGTCCCATAGGCTAGAAAAGTTCACTTAAATGACTTGGGAGACCAAAGGAGAGGACATACCCGGAAGAGGCCCAATGAAAAGGACAGCCAGAACAGCCCAGAGAGATGCAGGCAGAAGCTGGGGGAGGAAGAGAAAAGCTGAGCGCTGGAGTCAGACAGGCAGAGATAGAAGATTACAGGGTTAGCCAAAGAATCAGAATGGGTAAGCAGTGGAGAGGGATAATGAGAGGTGAGGGAGGGTGTGGTGGGGGGGAGCACCCCCACAGAGGGCCTCCTGAGCTAACAGCAGCGGCAGACATTCCTGGAGTGTGATGTCATCAGCTTGGCATGGCCTGGTGGCCTCCACTCTAGTGAGGTGGCTGAACTCTGACCAGCCAAGAGAAAACCCTCCTCCCTCCCCCCCACCAGCTACCCATTTCCCCCAGCCCACACCCGCCCTTCCCACATTCCAGTCTTTCACTGTCGCCCCAGGCAACTCTGCTGCCCAAGACCAAACCTCACCGAGGAGAGGTGGGGCGGGAACCCAAGGCTGGGCCAGCAGGGAGGCACAAGAAAAAGGGAGGTTCACAGAAGAGAGGAGGCTGGAAGACAAGAGAACTCCAAAAAGCAGACCCAGCTCAGGGAGGGAAATCAGGTAGCACTCAGACAGGCATGCAGGAGCTAGGGCAGCTGCGGGGCCTGACAGGTGTTCCTTTCCATGAAAGGGTCCAGCGGGGGTGGGGGGTGGGCGAGGGGGTTGTGGCAGGTGCACTCACCACAGGAGCAGCAGACAAAGCACTGGGTGTGGTAGAGGCTGTCCAGGGCCTGGCAGGCGTTGCTCTGCCCGTAGATGCCTTTGTTGCACTTGATGCAGGTGCCTGCGAGGGAAGAGCTGGTCAGTGGCTCGCCCCCCTTCCTCAGCACGGATCTAGGCACCCCAAGCTTGTTCAAATGTGTTTGACCGACGTGCCAAAGGCCACAGCTCCCTTAGCGTTTGAGAAGAGAGGGCAACCAGAAACGGGACGTAAGCTCGACTTGTAGAATGCTTGCCTCCCCTGTGTAAAGCCCAGGTTCCACCCCTGGCACCAAGGAAATGGCTGTGATAGTGCACAGTGCAACCCAGCAGTCAGGAGGCAGAGGCGAGAGGGACCGGGAGCTCGAGGTTACTTAGGCTACACAACAGTCGAAACCTATGTTGAAGCCACGAGACCTGTTTGAAGACGAAGAAGAAAGGAAGGAAAAAATAGGCAGATCTTTCTTAATTAGTGGAAATTCTCTGAACATCTATTTTGCGCTTAGCACAGAACCCAACCCTAAAAAAAAAATTGTTCAAGATGCTTTGTTTCTTTTGGGACAAGTGAGCGAGAAGCGGTGGGCGATGGAGATGCCAGCACACGGGTTCTGCGGCACCTGGAGAAACTTCATAGCCAAAGCAATCCAGGCCCACGAGGTAAAAACTTCAGTTTTTACCACCCATAAAACTCGATCTGGTCCAGCAGAGGGTCTTTTGTGCCGGTGGGCCAAGTGAACAGTCCTCTAGGGAAATCAATAAAAACACAATTGAGGCTTCAGGGGCCAGGAATGTATAGGATGGGGCGGGGGAGTGTGGCAGATCATGGCCTTCCTGACACGTGAATCAGGGCTTAGAGCTCTTCCCCGGGACTCTCCACTAACATGCATACACCTGGCTCTGGAACCAGCCTTTCCTGGGCGTGTTCTTCCTTCCCTCCACTCCCCAATTCCAGGCCCATGACTGAGGGCTAAGACCTGACTTTGGGGAGCAGATCCCAACGGGCCTGCCCCACCTTTCCCCCTCGGCACACTGCCACACTCCCTGCCTGTTGGGGCCCATCCCAGTCTTTGCCCAGGGGCTTTGGGAGCTGGTGCGGCAGCTGCAGCAACTGATGGGCCCGGGCCTGTCCTGTTCCCACCCTCTGGCAGCTGGGCAGAGTTGAAGCCAAGGGGGCCCCCTAACTAGAGACAACAGTAAAAGTCGAAGGTTACTACTAGGCCAGTCTACTGTAGGGGCTCTGTCGCAGCAACCTGGCCTCATCTCTGAGTTCAGAAGGTGTTCTCCTTTCTCATGACCAGAGGAATCTGCCCAAGATTGTCATGCCGGGGGTCCACTGTGGAAAGAGGAAGCTGCTCGGGCACGTTTGCCTCACCTCCGCTCACAAACCATTCACACCTAGCGTCTTCCTGCCATTTTACCGTGCTATCTGTGGCTTTCTTTGGGCTCTGACGTTTTAGCCAATGAGGCTTCTTTTCCAGCTCTCTCGTGGGTCTCCAAAGGAAATTGTTAAATGGACATCGCCTCTGTTTACCTTGAGCAAAGTGATTTAGATCATCTGCTCTGCTCCCCCCCTTCCCGAGTAAGTCAAAAAGTGTGTGCGCGCGCTGAATTTTCAGGCCCTTCCAGCCCACCTTGGTACTACCTTTGAACTTCTTAATTTATCCTTCTCTCTGTTCTTATTTCTAGCCATGGGGAGAGGGGTGTGGAACAGAGGGTCCCTGGAAACCTGAGAGCCCCAGAGTCAGGAGTGAATTTCCTCCCGATTCAAATCAGAACATTATATAATTCAGTAAGGTCTGTGGAGTTTGATAAGACCCCACCGCCTAGCTTTAACAACCGATCACTTCTTCTTGAAAGGAATAGTGGAGAAGAGGCTGTGGCCAGGTTTCTTCAACAGGAGCAGGAAAGTAGAGCTACTTCTTCCTGAATGATGGTCAAGATTAGGGGGTACTCAAAGTCAGGTAATGCCTGGTAGTCACGCAAAGCAGGTATCTATCCAGGGGTAATGGTCTCCAAGCGGTCATTGATTTTGCCCAGACTTTCGGAGGCTGGGGAAAACAGGCTGATAGGTACTCGCTGTAATACTGACATAAGAATATTCCTAATACTGGCCTATTTTAAAAGGCCCCCGGCACACACCTCACCACCAGGACTAGGGCGGACGGGACAAGACTTGAGTGCCCTCTTTCCATTCTAGGGAGTTCAGGCCTCCCGCCCAGATTCCATTTCCCCGACAGCAGCCACGACTACGCAGGAGCTAGCAAACATCCCCCAACGCGAGTCCAAGCTCCCCGCCCCTCCGCCTGGCGGGCGCCGCCCACGGCACCTGGAGCGCCAGGGCAGGAGTCGGCACGCACGCGGCCGCCCGCCCCGCCCCCCGCGCATTCCCTGAATTCCTACGGGCGGAGCAAGGAGCGGGTGGGGGCGCGGCACGCCGGAGCTTGCAGGAGCCCAGCCGCGAGGGGGGCGCGGGAGGATGCTCTCCGGGCCCCGCAGCGCCTCCTCCTTACAAGGCCTCCTACTGCGACAAGCCTAGGTACTCCCACACTTGAAAGAAAAAAAAAAAAAAAAAGACTCCCAAGAAAATCAGAATTGAATTTGTCAGGGATCAGTAGCCCGGTTCCATTAAAAACCTGGCAGGAACGAGCAAGTGTTCTAGGGTCGGCCCTCCTCCATCCCTCTGGCCTCTATTCTAGTCGGGGGTCTCCGCCTGAAACCCCCAGCCACTGGCAATTTGGACCGTCGGGGTGTTGGGAAACCGCATGCGTTATCGGGTCTCTCGGGTCCCTAGCTAGCCTCAACTCTCCAACTCACCAAAGTAATCTTCTCTGGCCTCTGGCTCCCGCATCCGGGCCCGGGAGGCCTCTGGAACGAAGGGACTGGGGGACTCCTCCAGACCCGACGGCTCAATCCCCGAGAGTTCCCCACGGGCACCGGCTTCTCGCCCACCGTGGGTAGCCACCGTCAACCGCAGCAATGCTGTTAGTTCATCCTGGTAACGGGCCCCCGCGGCGCAGTCCCCGTAGCCCGTAACTGAGTGCCGTCCGGGTTGCGCCCCACGTCTCTCCAAGGGCCCCGCTGTTCCCACCACGGCTCCGGCTAGAGCTCCGGGGCTGCCCAGGGCTGGGGGGTACGAGTGGCGGCTCTCCTGGCAGCCGAACACCACGGGCCGATGAGCGCACAGTCGGTCGAGGGCGGCATGGAGCTCCGGGTAGGCGGACGGAACCCCTCCAGAGGAGTAGCCCGCCGGGGCAGTAGTCAGGGGGAGGCCGAATAGGCACGGCCCCGCGGGCAGCGGGCTCCCGTGGCGCTGGTCGTAGCCCATGCTGATGCCGCTGGTCCGGTTGCTGCACGGCCGGCTACCTCCGGCTCCGCCGGGCCCCGCCCCGTCCAGCAGCAGGCTGCCCCGGGGACTCGACGGCTTGCTCGCGTCGCTGGCCGAGCTACTGGCGAAGCTGGAGCGAGGGCTGAGGGCCGGGGCCGAGGTCTCCAGCCGAAAATCAGGAGGCAACGACGGAGGTAGCGGCAAGGCTCGAGTGGGCGGCGGCCCCCCAGGAAAGGACCCTTCGAAGCGCTGCGCCTCAAAGGAGCCGCGTGCGTTCCGCTCGGCGTCCAGGGACCCTGGCTCCCTGGCCGGCTCCAAAGGCTCATCCCCAGGCCCCCCATTAGCTCCTCGGTGTCCTGATTTCCTAGGTCCCCCCAACCCACTCAGGCGCCCCTTGCCTGCTCCGGCGGTCCCATCAGACCCAGACCGGCTCGCTTCGCCCTTTCTGCGGCCGAACTTGGCGCTGCCGGAGTCCGAGAGTCTCAACTTTTCTAACAGGCGACTGGCTTTCTCCCCTAACCGCTCCATGCCCTCGGATCTGGGGCCTGCAGCCCCTTCCCCGCCCGGCACGCTGCAGCGTTAAGGCCCAAGGCCGGGCTTGGGTTCCCCGGGTCTCGGATTCCCGGGGTGCAAGAGACGCACGAGGGCTCAGCGGGCGGCCCAGGTGCCGGGCTCCCGCGATCCCGAAGCATGCCCCGGCGAGAGGGTCCGCTCGCGGCTGGCAGGGCCCGCGGCAGGCAGCAGCCGTCCTCTAATCCACGCGTCCGCTCGCGCCACCGCCCGCCCGCCGGCCGGCCCGCCCCCCTGGCTCTCAGTCGCCCCGACCCAACTTCTCCAAACTTTTGTCTGCCTAACCGGATCTACTTTCCGGGAAGGGCGGAGCGCGCTGTGCACCCGGGGTTGGCGTGTCCGCGCAAGGATTTCTGCATCACAGGAAGGACATTGCCTCCGAGGTGGAGGGCCGCCGGCAGGACGTGAAAAGTCAAGGGGCAGACTGGGCAGCTGCGACCATAAGATTCAAGAGTTAGAACAGGAAAGAGTTCAGGGGATGAGTGAAAGGGAACTCTTTGTTTACAGTTGGAATTGCGGAGGGGCACTGTGGAATGTATCCATCAATGATGGGAAGAAGGGCATGTTCTACACAGACATCAAGACGTGAGGACTGAGGGGGAGATGGAGAGAGATGGCACAGGAACCATAACAGGAAGATGAGAGGAGACTATAAAGGAGGCTCAGAGATAGCTCTGAGAGGATATGAATCACAGGCACGAATGTGGGAGCTGCAGGGACCGACGGATTCTTACAACAGGAAAAGGACAAGTTGGTCCTGAGGGCCTGAATGACACAGATAAACTAAAATAAAAAGAACTTTCTGGACCCACGGTTCTTTGATGGTGCAGTGGGAGGATACAAGATTTATGTGCTCCTGTGAAAAGGTGCAGGGAAAATGATTGGGGCTGATCCCTGCCTCAAGAGGGACAGAGAAAGATTGAGTGTGTGCTAACAACACGGAGGAAAAGGTTTAGGACTAATGCACTCCTAAGGGAGACCAGAGACAGAGACGGACAGAGAGAGAGAGAGAGATAAACTGGGAGAGACACCCCCTGGTGTTGGGAAGTGAAACTTTTGGTAAATATTTTAGGTGGCTAGAGATCAAAAGTGTGATTTTCAGGCAAGCATACACTAACTCTGATCCTCTCCCATGGCTTGACCACAAGAGGTTGGTGGGAAAATGTATTAACTTAGGGGGAATAGAAGATATAAGTGATCAGGGTGGAAAAGAGAAAGAGGAGATAATGACCAGTAAGACAGAGAGCTGGAGAGATGGCTCAGCGGTTAAAAGCACTGGCTGCTCTCCCAGAGGACGTGGGTTCACTTCCCAGCACCCATGTGGCAGCTCACAGCTGTCTGGCACTCCAGTTCCAGGGAATACAACAGTCTCTCTCTCTCTATCTCTCTCTCTCTCTCTCTCTCTCTCTCTCTCTCTCTCACACACACACACATTCATGCAGGCAAAAACACCAATGCACATAAAATAAAAATAAATATTTGCCAAGCATGATGGTGCACATCTTTAATCCCAGCACTGGGGAGGCAGAGGCAGGTGGATCTCTGTGAGTTTGAGGCCAGCCTGGTCTACAAAGATTGTTCCAGGATAGCCAGGGCTGTTACACAGAGAAACCCTGACTTGGAAAAAATAAAATAAAGAAGACGCACTTGATTAAAACTGAACACCAGGCAGTTGATTTTTACCCAAAATAGTGTATGGGATGGTAAAAGATAGGAAGTGATGAAAAAATTCTCTTTCTTTGCTTTTTTTCTTATAAGAAAAACATTTGAAGTTTTTTTTTTTGTTTGCTTTATTTTGTTTCTTTTTTTTTTCCTTTGGAGACAGAGTTTCTCTGTGTACCTCTGGCTGCCCTGGAAGTCATTCTCAAACTCAGAGATCCACCTGCCTCTGCCTCCTAAGTGCTGGAATTAAAGGTATACACTACACCCAGCTTCCTTTTGTATTTGGTACTATGAAGATTACACACACACAAATCAATCATTATTTTCATCTAAATATTTTGGACACCTTATATAATTTCAGTGACCATAGGAATATATTCACAACACTTAGAAGTCTGAGTCAGGAGAATGGCTAGGTTGAGGTCAGTCTGGGTTATGTAGTGATTTCTAGGACAGCCTGGGCTACATAACACTCTCTCTCTCTCTCTCTCTCTCTCTCTCTCTCTACACACACACACACACACACACACACACACAAATAAAGCCAGGAGGCAGGCAGAGGCAAGAGGATCTCTGTGAGTTCAAGGTCAGCCAGGCTTACACAGCCAGTTCTAGACCAGCTAGGGCTACGGGGTGTCTCCAAACCACGTCAAACAACATAGAAGGCAGGAAGGTGGTTTCTTTGTAAAAGCTGCATTTTCTCCCACAGCTCATCTCCCGGATAGTCAGCCTGTCCCTGATCAAGCCTACAGTTTTTCTCTCATCTTAAAATTTTCCTCCCAGGCTGGAAACATTAGGAATGAGGTAACGTATCAGTTTGCAACCTGTGAGGAGCAACCTCTTAAAATCAAGATAAGGGTCTCACCCCACCCCCCTCCAGACAGAATGAGGATTTGGGTTCCTCCAGGCATCTCTGAACTGTATGTTTTGACCTTTGGGAATGCAGTTGAAAGTAATGTATTGTTATTTAATTGCTTTTGTTTTTTAACTATTTTTGTTTTATGTGCATTGGTGGTTTTTCTGCATGTATGTCTGTGTGAAGGACCCACTGCAACTGGAGTGACAGACAGCTGTGAGCTGCCATGTGGATGCTGGGAATTGAACCTGGATCTTAGGGAAGAGCAGCCAGAGCTCACAACCACTGAGCCATCACTAAGCCATCTCTCCAGCTTTTGTTTATTTTTTTGAGACAGAGTCTCTCTACGCTATCCTGAAATGACATGTAGACCAGGCTGCCTCAACCCACCGAGGGTCTCCTGTCTCTGCCTCCCAAGTGCTGATTAAAGTCACCCCTGGTGAAAGAGGAAATTATTTATTTTATGTATATGAGTGCCCTATCTGCATAGAGCAGATATGCCAGGAACGGCATCAGATCCCACTATAGATGGTTGCAAGCCACCACGTGGTTGCTGGGAACTCAGGACATCTGCAAGAACAATCAGTGCTCTTAATCCCGAGCCATCTCTTTAGCCCCCAAAGAGTGGGTTTTAGGAAGAGTATTTTTTTTAAAGATTTATTTATTTATTATATATACAATATTCCTTCCATGTATGTTTACATGCCAGAAGAAGGCACCAGATCTCACTATAGATGGCTGTGAGCCACCATGTGGTTGCTGGGAATTGGACTCAGGACCTCTGGAAGAGCAGTCAGTGCTCTTAACTCTGAGCCACCTCTCCAGCCCCTTAGGAAGAGTTTTGAAGCTCATATAAAGACCCACTCAGGCCGGGCGGTGGTGGCACAAGCCTTTAATCCCAGCACTCGGGAGGCAGAGGCAGGCGGATCTCTGTGAGTTCGAGACCAGCCTGGTCTACAAGAGCTAGTTCCAGGACAGGCTCCAAAACCACAGAGAAACCCTGTCTCGAAAAAAACAAAAAAAATAAAAAATAAAAAAAAAAAAAGACCCACTCAAAGGTAACTGGGGGGGGGGGGGAAGCCGAGACAAACAGCTGTTCACAGGGATAACAGGAAGCAGAAACTAGAAAAAGGACAGTGAGGTGTCCTGGTGGGGTATGACCCAGCAGCGCTCATGACCTCGGGAGGTCACCCTGCAGTCCGAACTGGTGCTGGAGCGCCACAAACCCTCTTCTACTTTTCATTATCACTTTGTTTGGTGTGTGTGTGGGTGTGTGTGCATGCACACGAGAGCACTTTGGTGCTCAGGTGAAGGACATCGACAGCTCTCTTGCTGTCATGAAGGTCTTCCGGTTCTCCAGCTTGGCAGCAGAGCCAGTAAGTCATCCACAGGGCCCTTTGTTTCTGATACAGGATTTGGTTGTTGCAAGCTGTCTTCAAACACTAAATTCTCCTGCCTCTGCCACCTGAGTGCTAGGATTACAAGCATGTGCCACCAGGCCTGACTTCCTTAAACTTTCTCCAGCTTCAAAACTACATATTCAGATGGCTTCTTAACTCAAACTAAAAACTCAAATAACTAGCCAGATGGACCCTGTGTCAAGAGGGTCATAAGGTCAAGATTTGCCCAAGCCATATAATGAGACCTCATCTAAAAATAAAAAGTAAAGAGAGAAGCCGGGTGGTGGTGGTGCATGCCTTTAATCCCAGCACTCGGGAGGCAGAGGCAGTCCCTGTGAGTTTGAGGCCAGCCTGCTCTATAAGAGCTAGCTCCAGGGGACTGGAGAGATGGCTCAGTGGTTAAGAGCATTGCCTGCTCGTCCAAAGGTCCTGAGTTCAATTCCTGGCAACCACATGGTGGCTCACAACCATCTGTAATGAGGTCTGATGCCCTCTTCTGGACTGCAGACATACACACAGAATATTGTATACATAACAAATAAATAGGGGGCTGGAGAGATGGCTCAGTGATGAAGAGCATTGCCTGTTCTTCCAAAGGTCCTGAGTTCAATTCCCAGCAACCACATGGTGGCTCACAACCATCTGTAATGAGGTCTGGTGCCCTCTTCTGGCCTGCAGACATACACACAGACAGAATATTGTATACATAATAAATAAATAAAATATTAAAAAAACCCCCAAAAACAAATTAACATATAAATTAAAAAAAAAAGAGCTAGCTCCAGGACAGCTAGGACTATTACACGGGGAAACCCTGTCTCGAAAAACTAAAGAAAAAAAGTAAAGCGAGTGCTGAGGGTATAACTCAGTGGTGCAACACACTGAGACAATGGGGATGTTCTATCGGGAACTCACCAAGGCCAGCTGGCCTGGGTCTGAAAAAGCATGAGATAAAACCGGACTTGCTGAACATAGCGGACAATGAGGACTACTGAGATCTCAAGAACAGTGGCAATGGTTTTTTTTTTTTTTTTGATTTTTCGAGACAAGGTTTCTATGTGGTTTTGGAGCCTGTCCTGGAACTAGCTCTTGTAGACCAGGCTGGTCTCGAACTCACAGAGATCCGCCTGCCTCTGCCTCCCGAGTGCTGGGATTAAAGACGTGCGCCACCACCGCCCGGCTTGGCAATGGGTTTTTGATCCTACTGCACGTACTGGCTTTGGGGGCGCCTAGGCAGTTTGGATGCTCACCTTACTAGACCTGGATGGAGGTGGGTGGTCCTTGGACTTCCCACAGGTCAGGGAACCCTGATTGCTCTTCGGGCTGATGAGGGAGGGGGACTTGATGGGGGAGGGGGAGGGAAATGGGAGGCGGTGGCAGGGAGGAGGCAGAAATCTTTAATAAATAAATATATAAAAAAAGAAAAAAAATAACTCAGTGGTGCAATTAGTGCTTACTTTGTCCTTGGTCCGAAAGTCAACCTTCCGTACCACAAAAACAAGCCAATGACAATCACCCCACATTCATGCTAATGCCTCTACTTGGCAGCCTCAAAAGCACCCAATATTTTTGTTAACCTGGGGCCTCTCCTGGCTGCCTGCAATCACTCTCAAAGCTCCTGCTGAGCAAGAGCCTTAAACTCCTAGGCTGCCTAATTTAGAACCTAAGCTTGACCCTATTCCCTCACTCCGCACCGCACCTCTCCCTCTAACTATTATTTTACTTAATGTGTATATCTGCACACCTTGTGCATGCCTGGTGCCCAAGGAGGCCAGAAGACATCGGATCCTTTGAAACTGGAGGGACAGGCGGTTGTGAGTTACCATGTGGATGCTGGAAAATGAACCTGGGTTGTCTGGAAGAGCAGTCGGTGCCAACTACTGAGCCATCTCTTCCTTCTCGACCTCAAACCTGACCCAATCCTGTAAGTCACGTTGTATGGACTCTGCTTCCTAAACATCTCAGTTGTGGCTGCCACCACCTTTACAGCCAGGCTACCATCAAGGCTGGCTTCCTCCAGCCATGCGCTACCCTGAGGCCACGTGATTCTTACACACAGAAATGATCGTCTCACTTCCTGACTTTAAAACTTTCCAGGCGGGGCTGGGGATATAGCTTGTTTGGGGAAGTATTTGCGTAGCGTGCAGGAAGCCCTGCGTTCGACTCACAACACCAGCGAGGTGACCTGAGAGGAGAAGCAGGAGGCTCGGTGAGTTCTCACTGCCCCCTCAACTCCTCTATGTCTATAGACAGCATAAGCTCTCCAGACTCTTGGCTCAGCATGGTGCCCTCCTCAAACCATCTGCAGTAGAAGGAACAGTTGCCTGCGCTCACTCCTGCCTCTGGACTTTTGTACTGACCTTCTGTTTAGCTTGTTCTCTTGGACTTTGCCCCTGTCCTTGTTAATGCCTCCCCTCTTTCAGGTCTTTAAACAGCACTGTCTGAGAGGCCATCCTCAACTACTGAAGTGCGTCAGCCACCCAGCTGTACACCACTGGCGTCCTCTGCCCTCCTCTTTGACCACCTTATCAGAGGTTTTCACTTGCCTATCCTGTTGCCTAGCTTCCTCACTGTACAATGAAACCTAAGGATCTAAACCCAGCAACTTTGTGTCCAAGGCCCTAACACAGTACATGACACCTAGGAAGGAACCAGCTTGTGGCTTTTGCTCTTTGAAGACAGGGTCTCATATAGAGCCCATGATGGCCTCGAATTGGCTATGTAACTGAGAAAACCTTGGTCTCCTGATACCATTCCCTTTATCTCCCCACGGTCCATCTCTGGTTGGTTGGTTTTTGTTTGGTTTGGTTTTGTTTTTCCCTGAGACAGAGTGTCCTCAAACTTTTGACCCTCCTGCTTCAGCCTCCCTCTTGCTGGAATTATAAGCATAGATAATCTCAATCAGTTTTAGTATTTGCTGCATGACAAAATGAGTTTAAAGCCATTTTACTTCTTAATCCATTTGTAATGCATGTGCGTACACCTTCCTCAAAATACAGCTTGGCCGCCAAGACTGAGAAATAGCTACAAAACAGTGTGTGTTTGATCACAAGAATGGAAGAGAAGCTGTCAGCGAGACATGGGAGTGGCCTTTTGCTTGTTTCCTTGTGTTGTTCTTGTTTTTGTTGAGAGAGGGTCTCACTGTCACTACATAGACCAGGCTGGCCTGGAACTCACAGAGACCTGCCTGCCTCTGCGTTCTGAGTGCTGGATTAGAGGCATACACCACCACTGCTTGGCTTTGGCTTTTTTTTTTTTTTTTTTTTGGTTTTTTGAGACAGGGTTTCTCTGTGGTTTTGGAGCCTGTCCTGGAACTAGCTCTGTAGACCAGGCTGGCCTCGAACTCACAGAGATCCGCCTGCCTCTGCCTCCCAAGTGCTGGGATTAAAGGCGTGCGCCACCACCGCCCGGCATTTTTTTTTTCTTTTTTTGAGACAGGGTTTCACTCTGAAGCCCAGGCTAGCCAAGCTGGCCTTGGACTCACAGTGGTCCTCCAGTTTCAGCTTCCTAAATGCTGGGATTCTAAATATGAGTCACTATGCCCAGCAACAAGAGAAATGTTTAAGTTTTAATTTTATCACATGTAATATGGGAATAATAAAATTTTCTCACATAATCCAACAAATAATAACTATCATTTAAAAAATTCAAACAATAACTATCACATCTAGACCCTAATTCCAAACAGCAGTAAGCCCATATTCCCTTGCTCAGAAGAGAAAGCCCATGACTGAAACCTCCCACCAGGGGGCAGTATCACCCTGGCTGGTCTGTTCTGCTTCCAGGTCAGCACAGGACCCGCAGTGTTTCTCCTGAGCTATAGGTACAATGAAGGGAGAGGGAGAGGGAGGGGGTGGGGGATGAAGGGTGAAAGGGGAGCAAACAAAATCAGAGATTGGGACATGTATCAAGGCCTCGTGTTTCTTTGGCCCATTCCCCTTTCCCATCCCAGGCTCCTCTGAGGCACTGTTTATACTTAAGGAAAAAGCATTTCCGGGCTTGCCATTGGTGCGGAGGGGCGGGGCCTCTCCCCTGCCTTCCACATGAATTCTGCCATCTCACTAGAGTCCCGGCTTCCACTTCAAGTAGACACTATGTTAGAGAAACAGATTTGCTTTTTCTGACTGCAGGAGGCACCTCATTTTTCTGGTTTGTGGAGAGTGACAGGAGCCAGAGGCACCCTTGTTAGAGACTGTATTCATCCTTTTCCACCTTGATTTCAATGAATGAGTTCAGATCAGGACAGGAGGTCTTGTGAGGCTGGTCAAAGGATGGAGAGACAGGTCCTTTCTCGTTGACTCCACCTCCTTCCTCTTCTTGGAAGTTGGGATTGTAAAGTTCGGGTGGAAGGAGCTGGGCTTCCACGGAAGGCAGTCTGTCTGAGGGAGGCCCATAGACACGGTTGGCTTTGGTGCCATGCTTCGAGTTGGCATCCAGATGGTAGCAGAGCTCTGTGAGGCGCTGGGCCCTGAAGCGGGGAGAGCGGGCCACCCACACACCTGGCTCACTGAGACTGTCCTCCTCATCGGACATCAGCTCTTCTGTAACAGCCTTCCACAGCTGTTGGTCTTCGGGGCCGAAATGCCTCATGATGCTGGATCGGTTGGCAAAAAGCTACGGTAAGACCCAGAGCAGAGATTAGGAGGAGAAACAGACTGTGGGTTTGTAGGAAGAGTTTAGGTTGGGAGAAAAGGACATGTAAAATCTGTGTCTAAATGTACCCAGTCCTCAAGTCAGATCTCTGTGCTAGCTCACCCTCCATCTGTCTGTCTGCCCTCCAGTCTGTCAACCGTATTTTCAGCTTCTCTGGCATACTCTTCACATTATAGTTTGTTGGTATCTAGGCTAGGGTTTTAAATCTCAAAAGGAAGGCCTAGAAACCTACCCGGTATCGGCGACTTCGAAGTTTCTTCTCCTCTTTTTCCTTTAGGCCTTTGAAAGGGTTGAGAGAGTTGCGGTACTCTCGCCTTTTAGTAAGGAAGTAGGCCACACAGGCTCCTGGGGGAATGAGACAACAAGAAGCAGGACCTTCAGCCAGGCAGAGATGGCAAATGCCTTTAATTCCAGTACTTAGGAGGCAGAGGCAGGCAGATTTCTGTGAGTTCAAGGCCAGCCTGGTCTAGAAAGTGAGTTCCAGGACAGGCTCCAAAGCTAGAGAAATACTGTCTCAAAAAAAACAAAAAAAAACAAAAAAAAAAAAAAGAAAAGAAAAAGAAGGAGGAGGAGGAAGGAGGAAGAAGAAGGAAGAGGTCCCCTTGCCTCAGTCTCCAACCCTGGGATCACAGGTGTGAGGCACCATAATTAGCTGCCATCTCAACCATCCCCATGCCTCCTCCCTCCCAGAAAGAGCCAGGGAGTAGAAGGGGCAAGCAGAGAGCATGTGCCGAGGGAAGGTGGAGCCCCTACCTTTCAGCTCCTTATCTGTGTAATTGTGGGGACTGGTCATCAGTTCCTGCTTCAGCTTTTCCAAAAGGAATTTCACTACTGAAATATTCCAAGACGACTTAATGCTGTCACAGAGGAGGAAAAAGAATAAGGCAGACAAGTTTTGAGGAGCCAGAGGAACCAGACACCTGGGCTGAATAAGCTTTGTTGTGAACTCCTTGGCCTGACAGAAGCCAGCAACCACCCCCAAGCCCGCTTCCCTCTCAGCACAGCACCCGGTGAGCTGTTTGTCCTCGAGAGCCCTTACCTCTCAGAACCATTGAATCTCTTGTCGTTGGTGATGTGGTTATGTACATTGTGGACCAGTTTCTAGGGGAGGGAGAAAGAATCAGGTCAGGAGTAGACAGGAAAACTTTCCTCTGGTCCCCGTGTGTGGGTTCTTCTTTGTCCCAATCACACCATTTCTAGTTCCTAGGCACCATTGGTTTTTGGGTTTGTTTGTTTGTTTGTTTGTTTTGGAACCCACTTTGTAGATCAAGCTGGCCTCAAACTCACAGATATCTGCCTGCCTCTGCCTCCCAAGTGATAAGATTAAAGGCGTGCGCCACCACCACCCGGCTTCTAGGCACTTGTCTTGGTTAAGTTTTTATTACAGTGAAGAGACACCAGGACCATGGCGACTTTGAATTGTGGTGGCTCCCTACAGTTTCAGAGGTTTAGTTCATTATCATCATAGCACGGAGCATAGCAGACATGGTTTTGGTGACATCTTGATCAGAAGGCAACAGGAAGTCAACTAGGAAACCTCAAAGCCGGCCCCAACAATGATGCACTTCCTCCAACAAGGCCATTCCTACTCCAACAAAGCCACACCTCCTAATAGTGACTCCCTATGAGATTGTGGGAACTGAACACGTTCTAACTGCCATGGCACTATTTTTTAATATGTCCTTTCTTGACCAAAGAGCTATCGAAGGCTGTATAATTTTAGCTTTTCTTTTTAACCAAAGTGTCACATACCCCAAGCTGACTTCAAATTTCCTGTGTGGTCCTAAACTCCTGCTCTTTGTGCCTTTGTTACCTGAATGCTGGGGTTATAGAGATGTGCCATCATCTCTATAATCTGTGTTTCTTTGAATATAAGTGTATTCTGAAATTATCTATTAAAGTTGATGACCCAGTAGTCATGTGTGTTGGCACATGCCTTTATTTATTTATTTTTTTAGATTTATTTATTATGTATAGTGTTCTGTCTGCATGTATGCCTGCAGGCCAGAAGAGGGCACCAGATCTCATTCCAGATGGTTGTGAGCCACCATGTGGTTTCTGGGAATTGAACTCAGAACCATTGGAGGAGCAGTTAATACTCTTAACCACTGAGCCATCTCTCCTAACCTCACTATTCAGAAGGCAAAGGCAGGTGACTATCTGAGTTTGAGGTCAACCTGGTCCTCAGGGCAAGTTTCAGGACGGTCTGGAAAGACAATTAAAAATTCTCGCAAGTCTGGGAAGTGCACACATGAGTCTTGAAAACAAGAGAAATGGAAACTGGAAAGTAACCTGGAGACAGTCAGCACTTCCTTCCTTCCATGGCACCCGGAAGCGCCCTGAAGACAGCCAGCACTTCCCTGGAGACAGCCAGCACTTCCTTCCCTTCCATGGCACCCAGCAGCTGTTAGTTTTCCTCATACACATTTATTCCCTTGCTTTCAAAAACTTTATTGTTTTGAAACTTAATTGTACATTTGTGTGTATGTGCCTGAGTATACGCATGTGCATTTATGATTGACTTAATTGTACGTTTGTGTGTATGTGCCTGAGTAAACGTATGTGCATTACACGTACGTAGGAGCACACAGAGGTCAGAAGAGAGAAAAGATCTCCTGGATCTATGGTTATAGATGGCTGTGAGCCATGTGGGTAGTAGGAATCCAACCCACACCCTCCATAACCCTGAGCTGTCTCCCAGCCGTCTGTCTCCTTTCTGAGCCAGTTTATTCTAACTGAACATTTGGGGGGGAGCAGGATCTGATTATGTAGCCCTGGTTGGCTTGGAACTATCTATGTAGTCTTGGCTAGGCCCAAACTCATAGACATCCACTCGCCTCTGCCTCTCTCGCACTACCACAGTGAGTCCTATGGCATATTTTTGTTTTGCTTTTTTGAGACAGGATCTCTCTAGCTGTCCTGGAACTCACTCTGTACGGTCTCAAACTCACAGAGATCCACCTGCCTCTGCCTCCTGAGTGCTGGGATTAAAGACGTGCCTGACCCTCAAATGAACATTTTTAGTTGAAGAGTTTTATTGGAGGCTGGAGAGATGGCTTAGTGGTTAAGAGCACTGACTGCTCTTCCAGTGGTCCTGAGTTCAATTCCCAGCAGCCACATGGTGGCTCACAACCATCTATAATGAGATCTGGCGCCCTCCTCTGGTGTGCGGGCATACATGGAGGCAGAATGTTGTATACATAATCAATAAATAAATCTTAAAAAAATTAATCTTGAAAAAAGGGGTGGGGTCGCTGGGCGGTGGTGGCGCATGCCTTTAATCCCAGTACTTGGGAGGCAGAGGCAGGTGGATCTCTGTGAATTCGAGGCCAGCCTGGTCTACAAAGCGAGTTCCAGGAAAGCTAGGACTGTTTCACAGAGAAACTCTGTCTTGAAAAATCAAAGGAGAAAATAAAAGAAAGAAATCTTTAAAAAACTGAAGTCCAAATGTAAGCAGTCACAAAGGAATCGGTGAACAATTTTATAGAAAGTGAGAAGTGTGACTTCTCAAAGAAAGAAAGGAGTTACCTATCTTTTAAGACAAGGAGGTTGGAAGAGATCAGGTGGTAAAAAAATCCAACCAGGCTTGAAGTACAAAGGGAAAGTACTCTAGACAGTAGAGACAGTAGGTGTTAAGACTGTAAAGGCTCCTGGCTCATCTATCTCTTGAGTGAGCTAAAAATAGTCTTCCTCTAGGGTGGCTGGCAACCGCACCATTCCAAAGAGTCAAGGATACTGCTTTGGTCCTTGGGATCCACAGGGTTCCCTGCAGCATCCACAGGCATCCCAACAGATCAGTGAGCTCTTGGGCTCCTTCCAGAGCTCAAGATTACCTCTGTAAGGCCCTATAACCATTCTTCCCTTGCAAGCCGGGAGTCTTGCTCAATAATTTGTTTTCCTTTCTTTTTCTGAAATAGCCTTCCTTACTACTGTGCCAGGGCTGGCTGCAAACTAACCTTGCAGCCTGGGCTGGTTTCGGACTCAGTATTCTCCTGCCCTGGCTTCCCAAGGGCTGGTATTACAGGAGTTCTTCAAGTGTGTCTTCCTGAGTAACTTCCTTTCTCTCAACACTAGTACTTAAAACCTTGCTGCTTTTCCAGAGGACCAGGTTCAGTTCCCAGCATCCATGTCAGGTGACTCACAACTGCCTCAAACTGTGGCTCTAAGGAATCTGAGATCCTCTATTGGCCTCTGAGAATACTTAAACACACATAGAGCACATATACACACACGCAATGCACACATGCATGCACATAAAATAAATCTTTTTGTTTGTTCGGTTTTTTTTTTTTTTTTTTTTTTTTTTGGTTTTTCGAGACAGGGTTTCTCTGTGGTTTTGGAGCCTGTCCTGGAACTAGCTCTTGTAGACCAGGCTGGTCTCGAACTCACACAGATCCGCCTGCCTCTGCCTCCCGAGTGCTGGGATTAAAGGCATGCGCCACCACCGCCCTGCTGTTTGTTCGTTTTTTGAGACAGGATTTCTCTGTAACTTTGGACCCTGTCCTGGAACTAGCTCTTGTAGACCAGGCTGGCCTCGAACTCACAGAGATCAACCTGCCTCTGCCTCCTGAGTGCTGGGATTAAAGGCGTACACCACCACTGCCTGCCTTCTTTCCTTTTTTACACAGTGTTCTGTCTGCATGTATGCCTGCAGGCCAGAAGAGGGCATCAGACCTCATTATAGACAGTTGTCAGCCCCCATGTGGTTGCTGGGAATTGAACTCAGGACCTCTGGAAGAACAGCCAGTGCTCTTAACCTCTGAGCCATCTCTCCAGTCCTTCTTTTTTTTTAATGCATTAAGAAGGGCTGGAGATAAGGCTCAGTAGTTAAAATCCCTTGCTGCTCTTCCAGAGGACCCAGGTTCAGTTCCCACACTCACACTGGGATACTCACAACAGCATATACCTCTGGCTCCAGGGAATATACCACCTTCTGGCCTCTGACGATTCCTGCACACATGTGGTATACATACACATACATACAGATACAATTGAAAAACATTAAGAATCTATATTAAGATCCAGTTTTGACAGGTGGCAGTGGCACACACCTTTAATTCCAGCACTAGGGAGGCAGAGGCAGGTGGATCTCTGAGTTTGAGGCCAGCCTGGTGTACAGAGCGAGTTACAGGTCAATTAGGGCTAATGTAATGAGCCCCTACCTCTTATTAATTGATTAATACTTAACAAACTCCAACTGCTTCTAAATAAAAAAGTAAATAAACTCAGAGTGTGGTGAACAGAGTGGTGTATATGTTTATAATTCCAGCCAGCACTTGTGAGTTCAAGGCCAGCCTCAGCTGTATGTAGTGACTTTGAGGCAACTCGGAGTGTCACAAGATCCTGTTTCAAACAAACAAAACAAAGCCCCCAAGCCCCACAAAGCTCTTGTGCTCACAGTTGATCCAAGAGACTGTACTCATGCAGAAGAGGTCTCCCAACCTCTACACTATTGGCATGTTGAGCTGAAAGGTACATTGTGGAACATGCCGTAGAGTACCTGGCGTCTACCCATTGGATATAAGCATTCTCCCTCTGCCTACCGAGCGACGATAACAGTCTACAAAGTGTCCCTGGAGGGCAGCTCCCCCAGGCTGAGAACCACTGCCCCACCAGTTAGTTCTTCATGGGCCTCTTGGCCTCTCCAACAAGATGGCAGGCAGTCTTCCTAGCCAGTCCCTTCTCCCTGCCAAGAGCTCTGTGGCTGGGCAGACGGCACTAAGCTTGGTGGCTCAGTGCCTCTGTGGGGCTTGACACTGCTCAGGACAAGCTAGCTATCCCACAGATGTCCCTCATCACTTACCCTGCACACAGGCTAAAATGTGACCCTTTGGTGGTCAGTCTGCTCAATCCTTTAAGATCTTCCCATCAGGACTACGAGAACACTAGAGAGATAATTCTCTTCTCTTTAAAGGGGAGACACCATTCTATCTAGACAAGCCTAAAAGACAAGGCAATGGAAAAGGCTCTGCCATGCTCAAGGTTATGGAATAATGTCTCTTTTAATCCTCCCCATTTCAGGAGGATTTAGGACACTATTCATTCTATTTGGAGGCTTAAAGTCAACCCACTTTTTCAAACTAAAGAAAAAATGATTGAAACCGAGCTCACTTACAGAGAGCACCAGATCACGCTTGCGCCTGGAGTTTTTCTGCCCAGTCCCACGGATCCTGCATGGGGAGCCGATAAATCCCATAGAACGGCTCAATTCCCCAGTGCTGCCCAGGGCCGACTCTTCCAGGGTGTTGTCCAGTGCTGCTGAACCGAGCATGTCCTCGGGACGGGTTCCTGGGAGCTTGGCTCCATTTTCTGGTCCTGTCTCTGAGGATGCCCTCTGGATAGCCAGCTGTGTGGCTGGTGAAAGCTGTTTGGCATAAGCAGGGACCAACACTCGTTGTATTGCACCCTCAGAGGCTACATAATCGTCCGCCATCTAAGAACAAGAACAGTCTATTAACAGGCAGGCAAAGGGGACCTGCTTAACCACCATTCTCGGCCAAGAGTAGAGCACAAAGTAGAGGAGGAGGCCAGGTCAGCCGTCGGTCATGTCGACGGCTTATTTCCCTGGAGTCTATGACAACACCAGGCAAGTCGGCAAATCATTCCTTTCCCCGTGTTGGGTGTTTTGCCTGCGTGTATGTCTGTGCACCACATACATCCAGTGCCTGGAGGCCAGAAGAGGGTGTTGGATTCCTGGAACTGGAGTTACAGACGGCTGTGAATCGCCATGTGGGTGCTAAGGACTTGAACCTGGGTCCTCTGGAAGGGCAGCCAGTGCTCTTGGCTCCTGAATCATTTCTCCAGCCCTGGGCTGATTGTTCTCATGTGAACAGGACCTGTACTGTTGGGTTGTTATCACAAAACAGCTTCCGTGAACAAGGCATGCTTTGACCTTCTCTGTGAACAGTTACTTATGGCATATTCTTGAGTATAAGAAATGTATCTTGGGGGGCAATGGTGGCGCATGCCTTTACCTTAATCTCAGCACTCAGGCTGCAGAGGCAGGTGGATCTCTGAGTAGTACAGGGACAGTCTGGGCTACAGAGCAGTTCCAGGAGAGCCAGGGCTATCCAGAGAAACCCTGTCTCAGAAAACAAAACAAGCCGGGCGGTGGTGGCGCACGCCTTTAATCCCAGCACTCGGGAGGCAGAGGCAGGCGGATCTCTGTGAGTTCGAGACCAGCCTGGTCTACAAGAGCTAGTTCCAGGACAGGCTCCAAAACCACAGAGAAACCCTGTCTCGAAAAACCAAAAAAAAAAAAAAAAAAAAAAAAAAAAAAAAGAAAACAAAACAAACAACAAAAGAAATTTATCTAACTAAGCGCTCTGTCTGAAAGTACGGGGAGGGGGAGAGGGACAGGAACAAGAAAACTGAACAGTAACTACAATAAAAGGGGAAATGAGAGAAAAGATGAGAGCAAAGCAGGGAACCCCAAAGTGAAGAACCCCTAGAGGGGATGTCACACACACAACAGACACCTCCCCTACCCTCTAGCTCCACGGAGGGGCCGGTCTGGACCAGGCCACACCCCACAGTCTCAGCCTTAACATCCTGCTGAAGCCTGTGCAGTGAAGGACACACAGGGCAAGGAAAAGGAGGGCAGGAGTAGGCGGGGAGAAGGAGAGGAGCAGGGATTTTTGCAGCCAAGAAAACAAAACAGTGAGAGTGGGGGAACCACACACGTACAGAAAGACGCGGAGGAGGCAGCTGAGATTTACAGACCCGTGAGCTGCTCTCCCTACTGTGAAATCTAAAAGCTAATTCCATCCTGTCAGCTTGGAAGCCTTCCCTGCCTGAAAGCATCCCCAGCGCAGAGCACTGCCTGGCCCGGGTGTCCTCCCATTTCCTGTCTCGGGCCCAGGCCAGGCAGGCAGAGTGAGGAACAGTGACCATGACTACAAAGGGAAGCCTTTAGAAGAGCGACAGCCAATTGCTATGATAGGCTAGTGATGCTCATTCCTCAGTCAGCAGATGGGCTGGGACCTCCCACCCTCTCGTTCACACTGTGTGTTTGGAGAGAGAGGGCAGACAGGGAGCAGGGAGAGCTGAGGACTCCCCTCTGGCTGTTGAGCACAGGGCATCTGTAACTCCCTATTCTGTGATCTCTGCCATCCTTCCGTCTCCTCCTCTTCCCTGAGTGTCTTTCTGCAGCTCTTCTATGTAGTCAGGCTTTCCTTCTTCAGATGGCCCTGAGCACTGAAAAACTGAAACAGTGCTGTGTATTTCTGTCTTTTTTCTGCCCAGAATATGCTCGATTTCCATCCGCCTCTACTCTCTGCCCAACCTCCTCCTCCTCCTCCTTCTTCTTCTTCTTCTTTTTTTTTGAGACAGGGTTTCTCTGTAGCTTTTTTTTTTTAAATTTTTTTAAGTTTATTTAATTTTTTATGTGCATTGGTGTGGCGGTGTCAGATTCCCTACAACTGGCTCTTCAGACAGTTGTGAGCTGCCATGTGGGTGCTGGGAATTGAACCCGGGTCCTCTGGAAGAACAATCAGTGCTCTTAACCACAGGGCCATCTCTCCAGCCCTCTCTGTAGCTTTGAAGTCTGTCCTGAAACTAGCTCTTGTAGACCAAGCTGGCCTCGAACTCATAAAGATCCACCTGCCTCTGCCTCCTGAGTGCTGGGATTAAAGGCGAGCACCACCACCACCCGGCTGCCCCAATCTTCTTAAAAGACATGTTTTTACTATTGTTAATTATGTGTATGTGTGTATGTCTGTGTGTGGATATGAACATGTAAGCGCAGGTCTCAGGAGGCCAGAGACATCGGATCCCCTTGGAGCTGGCTCTTATGAGCCACCTGACAAGGAAGCTGGGAACTGAACTCAGGTCCTTTGGAAAAGCAGTACGCATTCTTAACCACTGAGCCATCACTCCAGACTCCCCTCGGCTAATCTTTATTTTATTTTTTTTCTTTTTTGGGGGGGGACGGGACAGTATCTCTACATAGGCAGGCCTGGAACTCACTATGGCCCAGGCTGGCCACAGACTCATGATGACCCTCCTGTCACTGCCACACCCCACCTCTATGTTCCTAAGGGTCCTCTGTTCCTAGTCTTCTATTTTTGTTTGTTTGTTTGTTGTTTTTTTGAGACAGGGTCCCATGGTCCTGGTTGACCTGGAACTCACCATGTACATCCTGATGGTCTTCAGTTCACAGAAATTCATCTGCCTCTACCTCCTGGATGCTGGTATTAAAAGCAAGCGATTAAGCTGGTGGTGGTGGTGGTGGTGGTGGTGGTGGTGGCGGCCACACACCTTTGATCCCAGCACTTAGGAGGAGGCAGAGGTAGGTGGATATCTGAGTTCAAGGCCAGTCTGGTCTACATAGCTAGGACAGCCAGGAGTACACAGAGAAACTCTGTCTTAAAAAAATAAAAACAACAGGGGCTGGAGAGATGGCTCAGTGGTTAAGAACACTGCCTGCTCTTCCAAAGGTCCTGAGTTCAATTCCCAGCAACCACATGGTGGCTCACAACCATCTGTAAAGAGGTCTGGTGCCCTCTTCCGGCCTGCAGGCATACACACAGACAGAATATTGTATACATAATAAATAAAATAATTATTAAAAAAAATAAAAACAACAAACAAAAAAGTAAGGGATTAGAGGGGGCTAGAGAGGTGGCTCAGTGGTTAGGACCTGGGTTTGCTCTCAACACCCACACTGAGGGGCTAGTTAACTTTCTATGACTCTAGCTCCAGGAGATCTGCCGCCCTCTCCTGGCCTCCCCCTGCGCCTGCACTCACGTCCACACTGCCCCCATACATGTGTAATTAAAAATTAAAAAACTAGGGCTGGAGAGATGGCTCAGCGGTTAGGAGAATATTGTATACATAATAAATAAATATTTTTAAAAAATTAAAAAACTAAATCTTGAAAAGCAATTAAAGGTGTGTGCCACCACCCTTTCGCTCTATCTTCCCCCAGATAAAACTCTCTTGGAAGCAGGCACACTGGCTTCCACCCGTCACGCCAGCACTTGGGAGGCTGAGGTGGAAGAACTGTTCCAAATCTGAGAACAGCTTGGGCTAGAGAGTGAGATCCTGTCGGTCACTGTCAGCAGCAGCAGCAGTATCAAATAAACAGTACCTCCTCTTCCCACATAGATCTACCTTTCTTTTTTCTATTTTTATTCTACTTTACTTTTATTTTATTTATTTTGTTTTTCTTTTTTTTTAAATATTTATTTATTATGTATACAATATTCTGTCTGTGTGTATGCCTGCTGGCCAGAAGAGGGCACCAGACCTCATTACAGATGGTTGTGAGCCACCATGTGGTCGCTGGGAATTGAACCCAGGACCCTTGGAAGAGCAGGCAATGCTCTTAACCTCTGAGCCATCTCTCCAGCCCCCTATTTTGTTTTTCAAGACAGGGTTTTCCTGGCTGTCCTGGGACTCGCATTGTAGACCAGAGTAGCCTACAACTCACAGAGATCCACCTGCCTCTGCCTCCAGAGTACTGGGATTAAAGGCATGCGCCACCACTGCTAGGCTTAGATCTACCTCCTCTTTTATTTACTTTATTTTTATTTTTTAGGTACGAGTGCATATAGCTTTGGAGCCTGTCCTGGCACTAGCTCTTTTTTTTTTTTTTCTTTTTTTTTTTGGTTTTTCGAGACAGGGTTTCTCTGTGGTTTTGGAGCCTGTCCTGGAACAAACTCTTATAGACCAGGCTGGCCTCGAACTCATAGAGATCCACCTGCCTCTGCCTCCCGAGTGCTGGGATTAAAGGCGTGCTCCACCACCGCCCGGCTTCTGTCTGTATTTATGCCTGCAAGCCAGAAGAAGGTATCAGATCCTATTACAGATGATTGTGAACCACCATGTGGTTGCTGGGAACTGAACTCAGGACCTCAGCCAGTGCTCTTAACTGCGAAGCCATCTCTCAAGCCACCAGCATTTCTCTTGATCTCTTAGCTCTACTTTTCTTTTATGCTCCTTCCTTACTTTTTCCTCCTTCAAACCCCACAGTTCCACTCTTCCCTTTACCTGCCTTTAGTATCCTTATTCCCCCACCCCCACCCCGCGGCGCGCTCCGCCCTGGCCCCTCTTCCTCTCCGCACTTCATCTCTGTTCTGAAGCCCTTCTTGGCAAAATGAAGGCCGTGATAAAATATGAACGAGCCGTCTGTGCATGGCAGGCATTCTCGCCAGGAAAGGCGAAGCTGGTGGAGTAGCCGAGACTGTTGTGGAAAAGATGCCGTGATGGAGCCCTTGAGAAGGTGGGAAGCACCACGTCACTTCCTGCACCAAAAAACGGCCTCCGGCCAAAAGGCTCAGGGTGGAAATATGGCTATGATATTCATGAAAGTGGAGGGAACTTGGTGGGCGCTCTTCTGTTTTATGAGGGACACAGGTGAAAGAATGGGCTAAAGCGGACTACTGAGAACTCAAGAACAATGGCAATGGGTTTCTGATCCTACTGCACGCATTGGCTTTGTGGGAGCCTAGGCAGTTTGGATGCTCAACTTACTAGACCTAGATGGAGGTGGGGGTTCCTTGGACTTCCCACAGGACAGGGAACCCTGATTGCTTTTCGGGCTGAGGGGGGGGGGGACTTAATTGGGGGAGGGGGAGGGAAATGGGAGGCGGTGGCGGGGAAGAGACAGAAATCTTTAATAAATAAATTTTTTAAAAAAAAAAACCACTTGGGAGGCAGAGGCAGGCGGATCTCTGTGAGTTCGAGGCCAGCCTGGTCTACAAGAGCTAGTTCCAGGACAGGAACCAAAAGCTACGGAGAAACCCTGTCTCGAAAAATCAAAAAAAAAAAACAAAGAGAGGAGGGCATACGATTCATTATCCCCACGGGCAGATCAACCACACGGGGGTGGGGGTTACTTACGGGGTTGAGCAGAGGGGCTCCCTCTACCGCAGCCAGAGCACATCCCGGGAGCCGCAGATCTCTCTGGGGGGCTGCGAAGAAGCCCAAAGGCCCTTGCCCCACGGTGGAGGCAGCCCCCAGCTGCCGCAGCTCCTCGATCACCACCTGCACACCACTGCCCACGCTGTCACACTCCTCCTCCATGGCAGAGAGTGTCTTGCAGGCTTCCCCCGGACTCCCCTTGAGCAGTCCAGGCTCCTCAGGTGGTGGGCTGCGGGCCCGGCTCTCCCCATCTTCATCGGTGGTGCACACTTTCCCCTGCCGTAGCTCACCCACTTCTTCCTGGAGCTGTTTTAACAACTCGTTGTTGGCGCGAGCAAGACCCAGGGCCGCCTCAGCCAGACCCACTGCCTTGTCCACCCGCTGGTAGATAATATGCAGGAGCTGTTCAGTGCTCTGAACTGCCAGGCCATGTCCTGTCACTGTGATAGGGGTGCTGGCAGGGGGATTCCCACCCTGAGAACCCGAGCTGCCCTGGCTAGTGTCACTCTTACAGGCACAGCAGCAGCATCTGGCTTCACTGCCACTGGGCGGGGTGAAGAGAATGGTGGCGCTGAAGGACATAGCTGATGGAGGCAGATAACTGGGTGCACTCAGCTGGACAGCTTTACCAGGGTTCCGGATAACCGGGTACACCGCCGGACAGCCACAAGCGTTCCAGATAACCGGGTGCACGCTGCTGGATGGCCTCACACGCGTTCCAGATAACTGGGTACACCACCGGACGGCCTCACAAGTGTTGCAGATAACCGGGTGCACGCTGCTGGATGGCCTCACAAGCGTTCCAGATAACGGGGTACACACTGCCAGACAGCCTCACAAGCGTTCCAGAGATCTGGCCTTCACCAGGTAAGCAATGGCCTCAAGATTCACTTTCCCTTCTCATGGAAGGTGGTCAGCAGGGCTGGGGCTCCAGACTGTGGGATCTGTGGAAGCCAGTGGATGAAGACACTCAAAGTCCCTGGTTGCTCCTCCTCAGCCTTCTGTTGGCGGGTCCCGTGCTTCCTAAGCACATAGCAGCCTTCACTGAAATAGAAGCAGAGCAAAGACTCTGATGAGTACAGGTTCAGGGAATTCGAGGCATTCTTGCACCCAAGCAAGGACATCTCCAACCCCACCCCCCACCCCCTGCAACCCAGGTGACAGAACAGAGAGGACACCTGGAAAGAAAAGACCACGGAGGAAAATGAAGACCTGTTTCCTCCTTTTCTCTCCGATTCCTGTCACTTCTCTACTAACAGTATGGCGTCCTGCTGCTAAAGGGTAAACTGTGTCTCCACGGGCACACTAAGCTTTCACAACAAGAGTCTCCTTTTTGTTTGTTTGTTGTGGGTTTTTTTTTGTTTGTTTTTGTTTTGTTTTGTTTTTTTGGTTTTTCCAGACAGGGTTTCTCTGTGGTTTTGGAGCCTGTCCTGGAACTAGCTCTTGTAGACTAGGCTGGTCTCGAACTCACACAGATCCGCCTGTCTCTGCCTCCCGAGTGCCCGGCTGTTTGTTTTTGTTTCTTTGGTTTTGTTTCTAGTTTTTCTTTTAAACTTGGTTTTGGTTTTGGGGTCGGGGAGGGCAGGTTCGAGGGGACAGAGATAAGTGAGCTCCGAGTGCATGATGTGAAACCCACAAAGAATCAATAGGAGGGGCTGGAGAGATGGCTCAGTGGTTAAGAGCACCGGCTGCTCTTCCACAGGTCCTGAGTTCAATTCCCAGCAACCATATGGTGGCTCACAACCATCTGTAATGAGATCTGGTGCCCTCTTCTGGCGTGTGGGCATACCCCGGAGGCAGAATGTTGTATACATAATAAATAAATAAATCTTAAAAAAAAAAAAAAGAATCAATAGGAGTTCAAACAAATTTATCTTGGGCATGGTGACAAGACGTCCTCGATCCCAGTCAGTATTCAGGAGGTAGAGGCAGGTGGGTCTCCATGAGTTCCAGGCCAGCCTCAGCTATGTTAGCTAGTTCCAGGCCAACTAAGGATATATATTGAAACTCTGTCTCAAGAACAACCCCCAGAACAAGCAAATTAGAGTTAGGGTTGATGTCGGTGGTAGGAACAATAACTATAATATTATCAAGCTGTTATTTGTGGGGTACTGACCCTCTGTCAGTATGTCATAGATCTCTGTAGGTATTTTTTATATGAGCAATCTTTTTTAAACTTTTTAAATTATTTATTTGTGTGTACGTGTGTGTTGAGGATGGTAGCCTTCCTTGGGAGGCAAGAGAGGACACTGGGACCATGAGCTGAAGTTGCAGTTAGTTGTGAATCGCCTGACATGGGTGCAGGGATGTGAACTTAGGTCTTCTAGAACAGTACAGTGCTCTTAACCTCCGGGCCATCTCTTCAGGCCCTGTTATAATCTCTATACAAATAAAACAGGCAGAGATGAGAAAACTGGGATTGGGAAAAAAGGAATTGAGTTGGGCTTGGAGAGTCCTTGTAGTTTCACCACTAGGGAGGCGAAGACAGAACAGCCATGGTATGACCAGCCTTGAACGTGGAGCAAGTCTGAGCAGAACAGCCGCAGTCCACAACAGTCCAGAGTAAAAGAAACACACACAGCACACCTTTAATCTGACCACTCAGGAGGCAGAGGCAGGTGGATCTCTATGAGTTTGAGACCAGCCTGGTCTGCAGAGCAAGTTCCCGGACAGCCAGGGCTACACAGAGAGACCCTGTCTAAAAAAAAACAAAAACAAAACAAACAAACAAAAACACACATATACTAAAGACAGCAGCAACAATAACCACCAACACCAAAGCCAAAAAACCCACAAAAAATGAAAACTTCACCTCTATGTACAACAGTTCAGGGGAGGCCATCCATCATCTGAACTACCCTTTCCTCCCAGGCCACACGCATTTCTGTTCAGACTAAATATATTGTATTTTTCGCAGTTCCTCTGCTTGCTTTCTTCTCATTCTGAGTCTGAATTTTCTACATGATTGAGTTTACCTCTAAACTATGAAAAATAAAAGGTTTATCACTGGGCTGGAGAGATGGCTCAGCGGTTAAGAACATTGCCTGCTCTTCCAAAGGTCCTGAGTTCAATTCCCAGCAACCACATGGTGGCTCACAACCATCTGTAATGGGGTCTGGTGCCCTCTTCTGGCCTGCAGGCATACACAGACAGAATATTGTATACATAATAAATAAATAATTTAAAAAAAAAGGTTTATCACTATTTAATAGCTGGGTGTGATTTGGTATTCTTCGGACATATGTTCTTACAACGCGCCTTTGACTCATTCAGGGTCAGGACAGAAATGAACTTTCTTAAATGTGATAGGCAATTCCTATTATAATCTTCACTATTGGAAATAAAAAGGAACTCATCACTTAAAGCTACTCCTCAGCTGGTCAGTACTGCTGCCTCCATTTCGAGGAACAAAATGGTCTTCTTTTTTATTTATTTATTTATTTATTTATTTTGGTTTTTCGAGGCAGGGTTTCTCTGTGGCTTTGGAGCCTGTCCTGGAACTAGCTCTGTAGACCAGGCTGGTCTCGAACTCACAGAGATCCGCCTGCCTCTGCCTCCCGAGTGCTGGGATTAAAGGCGTGCACCACCATCGCCCGGCCAAAATGGTCTTCTTAAAACCCGTTCCTATCAAAAAGGAGTTACCACACAACAACCGCAAATAGCAGTTACCATAAAATACACTTTCTCTATAATTTAAGTGTGACTAGTCTAGGCCGGGTGGTGATGGCACAAACCTTTAATCCCTGCACTCTGGAAGCAGAGGGCCAGCCTGGTCTACAGAGGTAGTTTCAGGAAAGCCAGGAGTACACAAAGAAACCTTGTCTCGAAAAACAAACAAGCAAACAAAAGGGTCTAATGATCTACAAGATATCTAAGACTTCATTACCAAGCACAAAACAGAAAGGCCAGGCAGAGCCTCGGCTCTTACACTAAAGCCTTCCGTGTAATCTGGAAACTGCATTCTCTTCCTTTTCTCTCCTCCTGAGAGAAGAATTTGCGTGTGTGTGTGTGGGGGGGGGTGCCTTTCCCCTCCATTCTTTTGTGACAGAATTCAGCATGTAATTCCTTTTTCCTTAAATTTTTTTAGATTTTTTTTTTATGTGTTGCCTATGTTCATGTAAGTACACCACAGACATGCCTGGTACCCAAGGAAGTCAGAGCGGGCACCGGTTCCCGTGGGATTGGAGTTACAGACGCCTATGAGCCACCATGTGGGTGCTGGGAACTAAACCAGAGTCCTATATGGCGGCTGAGTCAACTCTTCAGCTTTTACTGGCCTGGAACTACGCAGACCAGGCTGGCTTCAAAACCATGGCAATCCTGCACTAGCATCTAAAGAGCTAGAGTTACAGGCACTATGCTCTCTCTATCTGTCACAAGAATTTTCAACTCAATATGGCAGTCTTTAAAAAAAAAAATTAACAGGCTAAAGTGCAGCGAGGTAAGATTAAGATTTCCGTTTCCCTAGAATATACCTGACATTGAGGACTTTACTGTATTTGTGGAGAAACGGAAAAATGTAAAACTAACTCCCAGGGCTTTTATCTCGTGCACGCAGCGCCTTCGGTTAATGGTGGTGATCGGTCAAAGCTGACCCAGACCGGCGCAGGGGCTGCAAAGCATTCCCAGGGAGGCAGCGCAGCTCCAGGGCGGGGTCTGCCCGCCCTTGGGGACTCACGAGTGGACCTCAAGGACAGCCCAGCCCACCCGGAGCCCAGCTCCACGCTTCCAGGACCGCTCCACCCGTGTGCCGCAGGCGCGCGACAAGGCGGCGTCCGTGTACCCGCCGGCGCGCACACACGAGTGGGGGCACCGCCCCGCTCGCCCTCCGGCTCGCGCTGATAGGCCATTGAACCAAAGGGGTGCAGGACCAGGGACGCTATTGGCTTCAGTTTCCTGTCACTCAACTATCCGGGAAGGGAGGGGCCCTCTCAGGGAGGGACACGACCGAGAGGCTTTTTTAAGGACGCCAGGCGCCATTTTGGCTGTTTACTCGCATTTGCTACGTCCTGCTCTACAGTTGTGTGTACACGACCGAAGTACGGAGGCCGCAGAGTGTTTTCATACATTTGGCAGGGCTGATTTTGGGTTCCTGCCTGCCTTAGTTACAGATCTCTTAGATAATAGTTGCAAAGTAGCATTTCCTTCCTCCTTAGTTCAGTTTGCATCTTTTACTGTTAGATTCTCAGCAAAATCTATAGATTTGCTTTGCTTTGGTAAAAGTGTCATATCAAACAAGCCAGTCCACGGGAGGGAGGGAGGGATTCCTAGGCGATGAGCCGAGGCTGCAAGATCCGAATGCCTAAGCTGCCTGGCAATTACTCTTAAGGAACTACGTGGTAGGTGACAGCCTGCCGTGGTGCCTGAGACTTTAAAAGAGTAGCATAAAAATTATCATCGTTGCTGTGATCATTAAGGTCCATAGAATCTTTTACATTTCAAAGAAATGCCAGTCTAAACTTGTGGAAGGTCTTGTTGGGGAATAAAAACGCACTTAGTATAAATAGAAAGTCTATAGAATCCAAGCAGAGCTATTTTCCTTATGAATTTAAGACCCGGTAGCAATTTTACTGCAGGTGTTGCTTAGGTGTCTTTAAAGACTGCATACAACACTTAGCTAAGAGGTCTGTAGTGAGAACTTGGACTTGACTCTCCCGGTTACATCTGTGACGTCTCTCCGCATACACTAATGTTTTCACACAATTTTCAAATACAGACTGAACAGAGGTATATCCTGTATAACTCCCGATTAGGCCGTCACAGCACACAGCTGCCTAGGAAGGGGAGGCTCTGCCCCAGGGAAAGAGGACTTTAACGCACTCTTTTCCGAAACTTGCGAGATATGGGGGAAGCTTTGCATTTACAGAACACAAAATCGCGGTGCATTTTTTATCCCTCCTATGTTTTGGTTGACTCCTCTTGCCCCCCTGCCCCAAACAGTTCGATAACTGAACTAGACAATTCTCACCCCCACTTTCCTACCTCTGGAGTTTTTCAAACAAATCCCAACCAATAAAAGTCCACTTTGTTAAAAAGCCAGAAAATTCCTCTTTGAACATCTCTCTACAAAACTACTGGCAGAGGCCAAAACATACACAGCTGTACATGTAAGGACGAGAAACAGTAAGAAGGCAAAAGCACTTACAACCAGGGGGCTCGAATAACTTCCCAACCATCATCTGCCAGGCAGTCTGACTGCATGCTTTGGGGCAATTATTTAATTATTCACTAATCTGAGCAAAAGAGGAGCAGAAAATAAGGTAAATTCCAATAGGATGGAAGTTCTTAAGTAAGTCAAGGGCAGGATTTCCTCTAAGCTTTACTTGGCATATGAAATCCTGTTTTGATCACATTTGGAAACACAAGAGGAAAAAAAAAATTACATCGTAGGGTTTGTTTTACACACATAAAACCAAAGGAAAACACTTGAAAAATAAAATCTGATATGGCACATATACACATACTTTACATATACACAAAGAATAATCAGTATGAAGTGGTTTGCTTTAAGTACGCGCGCGCACACACACACACACACACACACACACACACGTCCTCATGAAATTCTGTGTGCTAGACACACCGTCAGAGGTGTCCCTTCTCTCCAGGGAAAAGAGTGTCCCGATTATAAAATCCCAGTATATTAAATCTATTGGTTTTGCACACTTGCCACATCCTCGCCAATTGGTTTTGGTTCTGAGGGAGTGTGTGTAAAACGCAGGCCGGAACGGCTTTGTGAGGGCGCCTCAAATCTCTCTGTTGCCTGTGGTAGAAATTTACATTATCCCTTTAGCCCGATTAAAAACAAATCTATACTTCCCCAAGCGACTAAAATTTAAAATCCTTCAAGCACAAAATTTACCAGTCCTTAAAATGTGATAGCAAAAAGAAAAAAAAAATTCTCTGTAAATTTGTCTGGAAACGGTTGCACACGACCATCCTGCTTCTCAACTTGGTATATTTTTAAACCTTGACCAGGAAAAAGAAAGAGAAAGAGAGACAGAAAAAGAAATGGGGAAAAGAGCAAATTCCCCTTAGCAACACTTTTCTCACCCCAGCACTGCCACAGATCTCTATTTTTAAAAAAAAATCTGAAAACACACGCAAGATGAAGGAGAAAAAAAAATGGAAAAAGGATACCCGAAGGTCGTATGGCTCTTTGTATTCGTGTGTGTGCAAAAGAGGAGGACTCGCGGAGCCGGAGCTCGCAAGCCCCGCCCCTTCCCGGACGCCCGCCCGGATTGGCCGCCGGACGCCCCGCCCGCAAGCACACGCGCCGCGCCCGAGGCGTCCGCCCGGGGGGCCCCCGAGGGCCGCGGTCTCGCGGACCTGGACGCGCTGCGCTGTGTCCTCCCCTCTCTCACCCTTCACCTTTCGTGTCTCGCTTTTTCCCTGTAAAACCAGACCCAGAAGAACAGCCCTGTGACTGAGCGCCTTCTGACTTTGCCAAACTCGGCGGAGTAGCTCCTTACCTGTGACCTTCTAAACTGGGATTGAGCGTCAGGGTGGGGGGCCTGGGCCTCAACCCTTGGTTTCCCAGGGCAATGTCTCTGGGTCACACATGTTGCCTAGCAGCCCACCTCTACGTGATCACTGATGAGTGTAACGCTGGCTAAGTGAAAGGCAAAGTAGCCTTACACCGGGCTTTACACTTTGGGGCTTGTTTTTGTACAGCCCCAGCTGGATTCTCTCCCCTACTGGACTAACACCATATTCTGAAGAAACAGAAATGTCTTCGTGCATGTAGACCCTTGCTTAAACCTGGATTTTAAGCAGCCCATAAACTGGTCTCACCGCACCTTCTTGTTCTAAAACGCTCGCACCACACACACACACACACACACACACACGTAAAACACGGATATTTATTGTGGGGGCGCTCGCGTGCCGCAGCGCCTGTGTGACTAAAGAGACAATTGCAGGAATCGGTTCTCTCCTTACAACCTTGTGGGTCTAGAGGATAAAAGCCAAGTCTGCAGGTTTGACGGCCTTCACGAACTGAGCAAGCGACGTCCCCCACTGGGCACTAAATTCTTTCGGTTGTTTTTGTTGTTTTTTGTTTTGTTTTGTTTTGTTTTGAGAAAAGGTTTCACTGTGGATCCTTGGCTGTCCCGGAACTAGCTCTTTAGACGAGGCTGGCCTTAAACTCAGAGATCCACCTACCTCTGCCCCGCCCCCAAGTGCTGGGTTTAAAGGTGTGAGCCACCACACCTGGTACCCTCTCCATCTTAGTCCCCAAGGATAACGTCAAGTCCTGCTTATACCTATTTATTTTCTTTAGTATCTGAACCCATGGCCTTTCTCAGTCTTCCTGGGACTTCCTGTCTTCCCCACCTCACTTGAACCCCTGACCTATGAGTTTATATAAGAAAATGGGAAGCTAAGTATGGTGGCTGAATCTTGTAATCCCAGCACTTGGGAGAATGACAGGTTTACTGTCACCTGTTCGAGGCCAATCTGGACGACATATTGAATTCTAAATCAGCCTGGCTACCTGGCTATGGCAGAAGATTCTGACTCAAGAGAGGAAGGGAAGACTGGAGAGATGACTCACTGGTTAAGAGCACTCTCTTAAGAGCCTGCTCTTCCAAGGACCCAGGTCTGCTACCCAGCACCCGTATTGCAGATTACAATCACCTGTAACTCCAGTTCCAGCCCATCCAACAGATGTACTTGCAGGCAAAACAACCACAGACATCAAAAGTAAAACTATAGTGACTGGAGAGATAGCTTATAGGTTAAGAGCACTGACTGCTCTTCCAGAGAGGATCCAGGTTCAATTCCCAGCACATACATGGCAGCTCGCAGCTGTCTGTAACTTCAGTTCTAGGGAACCAAACACCACACAGACTTACATGCGGCAAAACACCAATGCACATAAAATAAAATTAAATTAAAAAATAAAAGCATTAAAAGATTTTTTAAAAACGAAAAAAAAAGGGCCTAGTTATGTGTGTGCTATGTTTGGCTAAGAGATACTGAGGCATTAGGAGCATCCCAATAAACTGTTCAAAAGTATCCAAAAAAAAAAAAAAATCAGCCGGGCGGTGGTGGCTCACGCCTTTAATCCTAGCACTCGGGAGGCAGAGGCAGGAAGATCTCTGTGAGTTCAAGGCCAGCCTGGTCTAGAAGAGTTAGTTCCAGGACAGGAACAAAAAAGCTACGGAGAAATCCTGTCTTGAAAATCACAAAAATAAAAATAAAAATAAAAACAGGCCAAGCAAAAAAACACACTACTAGCCGGGCGATGGTGGCGCACGCCTTTAATCCCAGCACTTGGGAGGCAGAGGCAGGTGGATCTCTGTGAGTTTGAGACCAGCCTGGTCTACAGAGCTAGTTCCAGGACAGGCTCCAAAGCCACAGAGAAACCCTGTCTCGAAAAACCAAAAAAAAAAAAAAAAAAAAAAAAACACACTACTTAAATTCCAGCACTCAGGCTGCAGTGACAGGTGGATTTCTGTGAGTCCAAGGCTGGCCTACTGGGGAGTTCCAGGACAGTCAGGGTTCTACAAAACAACAACGCCTTTAATCCTAGCACTTGGGAGGCAGAGGCAGGCGGATCTCTGGGAGTTCGAGACCAGCCTGGTCTACAAGAGCTAGTTCCAGGACAGGCTCCAAAACCACAGAGAAACCCTGTCTCGAAAAAAAAACAAACCAAAACAAAACAAAACAAAAAAAACCCAACAACTAGCCTTGTGGTGGTGGTGCACACCCTTAATTCCAGCACTCGGGAGACAGAGGC